ACCAAGGAGTCCTGCGACGATGCGGACAACAAGTGCCGCACGGCTGACGGCGCGAACATGAGCAAGTGCAGCGCCGACAAGGACGCCTGCTACACTAAGGCCGGCCTGCCGAGTCCCTACGGCAAGGCCAAGCGCCAGGAGACTGCTGTCGACTGCAAGGACAAGGAGTGCTGCGACCAGCAGGACAACGAGTGCCGCACCGCTCCGGACGCCAACATGTCCCAGTGCTCTGCCTGGAAGGATTCGTGCTACACCAGCAACAACCTGCCTAGCCCCTACGGCAAGTTCTAAGCCGTTGCGGACTTGGATGCTTTGAGGGTCGACTATGATGCGACGATGTTTTACCATGGGGTGTGAGGAATAATAGCGGAGGATGATGGTTACGATTAGGCGAGGGAGGGAGCATGGTAGTGTTAATTGAGTACTGTACTTGTACGATCAAGCGCGACTCTCGTTTAGCTTTGACTTGAGCGCTTGAATATAATACGATCTATCTGCTCTTAATCATTTTCTGTTTGCGCTTTTTGTGATGCTTGTTCACTCTTTTGACTTCTTTGATGCTGCATGAGATGGCGGCAGTCCACTGAGTGCTTGTAGAACAATGCGGCATCGCATTGGGTCGAAGATCGAAGAACATTCCTCGTACTCCGGTGAGCCGGCTGAGTGGCAAAGAAAGAGAACATCAGTGGCAAGTATGTGCGTCAAGCACTTAAGTCTCAACGCGGATTCTTTCTTGATCGCTTTCAAGCTGGAAAACGTTGTTTGCCTCCAGGTGCTTTGAGCAGATCTACGCCCCGTCTAGTAAACAAGCCAGACGGCCTTAAAAGAAGTTTGTCGCTTCTAAGCTGCCTGTAAGAATGCGTTGAGAGATTTGAAACAAAGGTAAAGATTATATGAAATTTTGATGAGCCTCTTTATATTCAACAGGTCAAAGGTTGAACACATTTCACGCGAGTTTATAAGTTATTGCAAGTTCTGTCAGCTTTACACCGATTGTTCGATCTGACGGAGATGAGAATACCTATGGGTACATTTTACGACGAGTATGTGTGCTGATTTCAGTTGAGAAACAATTTGAGAGTAAGTCTTGTTAAGGAGCCCAAATATAGACTTGCTCCTTAAAGTAAAGCCTGAGAAATAATAGCAGACTAAATTTAAATCTTAATGCACTGTATCTAACCGCTTTGAACGATCAGGCAGACTTGAGTGTCTGAATCTTCCAACGGCTCTAGTCACGGCGGGAAACACTTGGTGACGACACCGCGTGAAAGGCTGATTTTTAGGTCAGCAGCTATTGCAGAATAGCTCTTATAGAGAGCTTCCTCGTGCTATATGCTATATATGTCGTGCTCAATAGCCTTATCCATAAACGGCAAGTGTACCTGGATGGCGTCAGCGGAAGTGGGTCCTGCGGCCTCGTCTCGATGAAGACGGGAGGATCGTGCAGATCTGAGCGACCAGATATATACTATAGGCTTTAATGCGTCTGATCTGATAACGGGAGCAGGGTTTGGTCTTTGGTTTCTGTCACCGAAGTTCGGGTGGCGGGAAGATACGGAGTGCACCGACTACGACATGGATGCTATAAAATGATGTCTTAATATAAGCATCTCTCTAACAAGGTAATAGCAACTACTCGCAGTCTCGGTATCAGACTAAAGCCATCGCCACCTTTGCCTCAAGAACACAATCAGCAAGTTTAATTTTAAAGTCATACAATCGTAACAATCCTCTCTTCCGCGTGTTCAATCCACGAAGGATTATCTTTCAAAAACACACAACCAGCGCGCTGGTAGTTGCCAGTGTTCAACAGTTCCAGAAGCAGCCCTATAGTCTGGGCCTTCTGCCTGTCCTGTCCAGACTTGTAATCCAAAGTCGAAGTCCAACTAAAGCCCAACAAGCAGCAAAAAGTCCTCCCACCATACTACTCCGACGCCAATACCCTGTCCATAAACAGGTATCCAGGCTCCTTGCATTGATTCGAAGTAACGATCGAATTAGGATTAGCAAACGGTGGTACGTCCTGCAAACTCTCAACTGCCACGGTATGAACTTTCCCGCGCAGCTTCACAAAAGCATCCGAAACCTTACCATATGGACTAAGCGGTGAGACGGAGCACTGAAAATCGAGCACCTCAAAATGCTGCGTCCGCTGAGCCTCGTCATCCCCCCACCAAAACCAGGGCAGCTCCTCGACCCTCGACGTGCCCGCCAACGAAGCCCACGAAACGACGGCGCCACAAGCCGCGGCGTATCTTGAACTCCCACAACCCTCGCAAATCAAAACAAGCCATCAGCCAAGTACGCCTCCCACAGCCCTGCAACATAGCGGCCCAGGCGCTCCGACTGCATGCGCGCCGCCATGCCCGCCAGCGCAGGTAGCACATCGCTGGGCTGTGTAAGTTCCTTGCGCGCATAAGGCCCGACGACGAGCTTCCAGCCCTCCCACGGATCCTCCGCTATATGAAGTCGCGCGACATACTCCGGGCGCACGATCCCGGCGTACAGGTTCTTGAGGTACGTAGTTTGCTTGGCGCTGGTGCTGTTGCGGTGAGGGCTCTCGCACTCGCATCTGCACCCTGCCTTGCACTCGAAGACGAGTTCCGCGTCTGTAAAGTGCAGGAGCCGCGTTGCGAGGAGGCGCTCCTGGAAGCACCAGGCGCGTGAGGCGAGGAGGTGGTCCGCGGGCGTCTTGCCCACGATGCCTTCGAGCAAGGTGGCTGAGAAGGGGAAATGGTCAATAGGGGGGCGGACGGCTATGGCGACGTTGTTTTTGTTGTTGCTGCGAAGATGCTTGGTAAGGCGGCAGAGGTGCTGACGCGTGGTAGAAGGGCTGAGAAGGCTGCTCGTCGTCGTATTCGCTGAGATGGTTACGTATGCCTTTTCGTAGATGTCGGCCATTTTCGAGGCCTCGACTTGCCAGTCATCGGCATCGTCTTGAATAATGCAAAGAGAATCGATCCATAGGTAACGCAGATCCAGCATTCGGGTGACCTTGATGGCATCTTGGAATGTGGGTGAAAGCTCTGACCACGCGATAGCTGTTTTCCTTGCCGCGAGTGTGCTTTTCGTGGTTGTGATCAGGATTTTCTTGCCCCATCTATGAGTGAGGGCTGCATATTTTCGTCGCTCTCCTGCCGTCTCATACAGTTTGACTTTCGGTTCTTTTTCGGTTCCAATGTCCAGAAGACGCGTCGGTAGGACAGGGTTCATCTCGTTTTTGCAGTCGGCATGTTTCTGGATGCATTCGTGGATTTGCTGAAGCATCAATGGAATGCTTTCGATCGGGTTCTGAAGAAGTGTGCTCCCTGGCAGGATGTTCAGTGCTTGATAAGATCCTCCTGGGACCTGGGGCTCTAATTGAGAAGAACCGTCTGAAGCAATGTTTCCGGAACTATTCGGTGTCAGGCAAAAGGACAGAAAGCGAAACTGCCACTATTACCTCTGCAAATTATCACAACAGATAATTTCCGCGTGGCGCCAGTTCCAGTCTCTTTCTCTTTCTCTCTGATTGCCAAAGTTCAACAATATAGTCAATTTACGCTTTGACATTCGGCGAAGCATAAAGACAACATTTTCGATGAATTCAACACCCTGTGAGTTTAGAAACAGGTGAATGGCCTCACTAACCAAGGTGCAAATATTGCAGCCTGCGTTGGCGTTGTTCAACAAGCGGACCATGCTTTGTTGTTTTCAAAATATGTATCCATCTTTCTCCTCTGGGCAACGGGTCAGTGCAGTCTCAGTACTCATGTCAAGCTGGTGGCGTGTTGGAGGTTGAAGAGATCTTTGCTTTTTTTTTTTTCATCAGCAGAGTGAGGGTCTCCCGGAACCCCTGTAAGCGGGGTGGCGGGGTATAGATAGTGTTCTGGGGCCAATCGGAGCATTACACGAACATAGATATATCTCTACTTCCGATGCCCTGCAGAAAATCATGCTTTTCTACTATCTAATCTCACCTCATCTAACCTTTTTCACGTAATACAACTAAAGATAGACTAGCAGTCGGGGCCTTCCTATATAAAATTAAGCAAGGGAAAGCTGGCTAACAAGCACCGACAACTAAGGAAAACTAAGGTTCTATTATATACAGGATTCTTTAGGGCTACGCAGCTTACTTTACTAAGAATCAACTAGGCATATCTAAGTCTTTATTAAAAAGTTACTATTAAAGTATACGCAGTTTATATTACTTTTTCTATAGCTTAGTTATTTAGCACAGGGTATAAGAGGACTCCGCCTACCGGGCTCCTAATAAGATTATATTACTTATTACTATTAATTAAAACCCTATTTATTACAATAGTTATAAGCCCGGAAATACGTTTAATACCTTCTACTATCTAAGCGTATATCTATAAAATAATACTAACGTCTTAAGGCATCTAAGCGTCGTCTATACTCCTCGCTATTAAGGACACGTTTCTAGTTATATACTATCTAATAAGCAATACTTTACTATTATCTATTAGCATTATTATTAATTATTAATGATTAATTAATTAATTCGTTTTACGTCTATATATAGTTAGAAACTATAACGGACGGTCCGTTTAGGACAGGCTAGGGGGTTTAAATA